CCTACATCACATGCCATCATTCGAAACTGCAGATATATTTGCTTACTTAATACATCGATGTGACTGGACACCGTCCAGGTTAAAAGAATATCGACTTGACAATGTTTTTTTTTCTTATGTACAAAGTAGGACATATTGTTTCCGTCAACCTTCACCATGTTTAACTTAAAGAAACTGAATTTATTTACATCATGGCTGAATGTGTTTGAGAAACATCTCAAAAAGAAAACCTTACCAATTCTGGTTTCTGGTTAAAACAAGTTCAGAAATAATTTCTGGTGGCTGTAATTGCGTTGCATAAGTCATTCTTTTTAAGAACTAGACGCAACTACAAGCGTCACTGAACATATGTTACACTTCCGCTCCTTGTCGACGTGACTTGAAATTAATTTTATTAAAAACATCGCTTTAATGATTGTAACTAAAAATAATTTCCATTAAAAATATAATAGAGAACATGGTTCATGTAAACACAGAGCTCGGCATACAAAACGCATTATAGAACTTATTGCACCTTAGACCCTTCATAAACTATGAAAACCGTGCTTCTGAGTGCTCAATTATTATTATGCCCGTCATGATTACGTTTATTTTCAGTACATCAGGATATGTATTTCAGTTGTTTAGCTTTCTGTAATAAACCTCTTGGTCATTCAAATGCAATATACTATTAAATTGGAGGAACATATTTTGAAGTAGTAAAAACAAATTCATGTCAATAAGCTCTTGTGGTGGCGCTCTAATAAATGAACAGAAATGGAGATGTGTTCTATATTCATATTGATCGTTACTCCATATCTACATAGCCTTGGCTTTGCTGGGACTGGCTGTTAGATATTGAGAGGAAATATACATATATTGTATATAACAAACATTCTTCAGATAGTGTAGTAGTTTGTAGAAACCATATAATTACTACCTTTTATATAACACTACTTATATGCATTTTAACAATACATAATGAAACTAATTATTTCAAGTAATCACAATTCCTTGGCAGTAATAACAAAGATATGGTGCTACAAGTATTCTTGCCCTTCGGTTCATGTCATTATTTATTTTATTTTTAATGCAGAGCCTCAGGACCAGCGTAGACATATAGATATATTTATAGAAATAAAAGGAAAAAAAGTGAAAGACTTATGGAACTGTGTCCGATACTAAATATTCAGACACTGTTATTATAAATAATTTGTAGAAGTTATATATACCAGTCCCAGTACCAGTTATGGTATTCAAGGCCAC